GAGACTTCACATCTTTTATGTTTACCTGGATGGAGCTGGAACATAATCTTCTTAATAAAGTATCGCAAGAATGGAAAAAAAAGTATCCAATGTACTTGATACTAATATGAAATCAATTTATAACCACCTACACAATCATACAAATGGCAAAATATAACTATAATCCATAAAGTAGAAGGGAAGAGGAGAGAGGGGAGGGGAGGGGGGTTATGGGAGAAGGGAGGGTATTCAGGGGGACCTCACCTAATGTGCATGATGCAATGGTACATTTCAAAACTATTAAGAAATGAGTATAACTGTGATGGATGTGTTACTTAGTTCAGTGTAAACATTTCACATTGTATATCAAAGTAGTACCCTGAATTCCATAAATGCATCAATGTACAAAGTTATGGTTTAATAAAAAATTACTAAAAAATAAATAAATTTTAAAAAAAGAAAATGCATGGGGACTTGGCGCCCATAGCACAGTGGTTGCGGAGCCAGCCACATACCTGAGGTTGGCAGGTTTGAACCCCGTCCCGGCCAGCTAAACAACAATGACAACTTTAACAAAAAATAGCCAGGCGTTGTGACAAGCGCCTGTAGTCCCAGCTTCTTGGGAGGCTGAGGCATGAGAATCGCTTAAGCCCAAGAGTTGGAGGCTGCTATGAACTGTGATGTCACAGCATTCTATCGAGGGTGACACGATCAGACTCTGTCTCAAAAGAAAAAAGAAAGAAAAGGAAATGCATGGGAGCTCGGCACCCACAGCACAGTGGTTACAGTGGGTTTGAACCTGGCCCAGGCCTGCTAAACAACAACAACAACAAAATAGCCGGATGGCTCAGCATTTGTGGCTCAAGCAGCTAAGGCACCAGCCACATACACCAGAGTTGGCAGGTTCGAATCTAGCCCGGGCCTGCCAAACAACAATGACGGTTACTACCAAAAAATAGGCAGGCGGGCATTGTGGTGGGCACCTGTAGTCCCAGCTACTTGGGAGGCAGAGGCAGGAGAATCATTTAAGCCCAGGAGTTGGAGGTTGCTGTAAGCTGTGATGCCACTGCACTCTACCCAGGGCAACAGCTTGAGGCTCTGTCTCCAACAACAACAAAAAAATAGCTGGGCATTGTGGCAGGCACCTCTGGTCCCAGCTACTTGAGAAGCTGAGGCAAGAGAATTGCCTCAGCCCAAGAGTTTGAGGTTGCTGTGAGCTGTGATGCCACTGCACTCTACTGAGGGAAACATAATGAGACTCTGTCTTAAAAAAAAAAAAAAGGAAAAAAATGCATGGGATTCAAGATCTTCTGTTGTGGTTTAAAAAAATGGAAATCAAAACTAAAATGAGGTACCACTTCATACCCACTAAGATGGATATAGTAATTAAAAAACAGGGGCACCCATAGCTCAGTGGTTAAGGTGCCGGCCACATGCTCTGGGGCTGGTGAGTTGGAACCTGGCCTGGGCCTACTAAACAAAAATAAAAAAGCCAGGTATTGTGGGCCTGTGGTCCCAGCCACTTCAGAGGCTGAGGCAAGAGAATTGCTTTAGCTCAAGAGTTTAAGGTTGCTGTGAGCTATGACGCTACAGCACTCTACTGAGAGCAACATAGTGAGACTCTGTCTTTAAAATACAAAAACAAGAGGGCCAGCCAAGGTGGCTCACACCTGTAATCTCAGCATATGGAAGGCTGAGGTAGGTGGACTGCTTGAGCTCAGTAGTTCAAGACCAGCCTGAGCCAGACCAAGACCTTATCTCTAAAAATAGCCAAGCATTGTGGTAGGTGTCTGTAGTCCCAGCTACTTGGGAGGCTGAGACAAGAGAAACACTTAACCCCAAGAATTTGATGTTGTTGTGACTCCATGGCACTCTACCAAGGGAAACAAAGTAAAACTGTCTCAAAAAAACAAACAAAAAAAAAGAAATGTTGTCAAGAATGTGGAGAAATAGGAGCACTGCTAGTAAGAATGTAAAATGGAGCAGCTACTGTGGTAAACAGTTCGATATTTCCTTAATAAAATAAACATAGAATGACCATATGATCCAGTAGTTCCACTACTACATATACTTATATACCCCAAAGAACAGATACTCAAATAAATACTCATAAGCCAATGTTCACAGCAGCATAATTTACAATAGCCAAAAGATGGAATAACCCAAGTGTCCATCAAGAGATAACACAAAAACAAATGTATATACTCACAATGGAATATTATTTGGCCATAAAAAAGAATGAAGTTCTGGCCGGGCATACGTGGCTCATGACAGTAATTCTAGTACTCTCAGATGCCAAGGTGGGAGGACTGCTTGAGCTTAGGAGTTCAAGACTAGCTTGAGCAAGACTGAGACTCCATCTCTAATATAAATAGAAAAATTAGCCAGGCATGATGGTACAGGCCTATAGTCCCAGCTACTAGGAAGGCCGAGATAGGAGTTAACACTTGAGCTCAAGCATTAAAGGTTTCAGTGAGCTATGATGATGCAACTGCATTATAGCTCAGACAACTGAGACTCTGTTTCAAGAAAAATAAGGATTATAGGGCGGTGCCTGTGGCTCAAAGTAGTAGGGCACTGGCCCCATATGCCGGAAGTGGTGGGTTCAAACCCAGCCCCAGCCAAAAACTGCCTATAAAAAAGAAAAATAAGCATTATATAATACAATAAAAAATTAAATTTAAAAAATTAGAAATAACAAAATAAATCAAGCCAGGAGTTTAAAACCAGCCTGGGTAATATAAGCAAGACCTCATTTCTATTACCTTAACTTAAAAAACAATTTTTTTTTTTTTTTTTTTGAGACAGTCTCACTGTGTTGCCCTCGGTAGAGTGCCACAGCATCACAGCTCACAGCAACCTCACTCTTGGGCTGAAGCAATTCTTTTGCCTGAGCCTCCCAAGTAGCTGGGACTACAGGCACTCGCCACAACACCTGGCTATTTTTTGCTACAGTTGTCACTGTTGTTTTAGCTGGCCTGGGCTAGGTTTGAACACGCCAACCTTGGTGTATGTGGCTGGAACCATAACCACTGTGCTATAGGCACTGAGCCAAAAAAAATTTTTTTATTTTAAGTATACAGGACAGGCAGTGTGCAGTGGCTTATGCCTGTAATCCCAGCACTGTGGGAGGCCAAGGTGGGTGGATTGCTGGACCTTAGGAGTTGGAGACCAGCCTGAGCAAGACCCCATCTGTTGGGGAGGGTAGGGGGAAGGTGGGTGCATTGGCTCATGCTGTAATCCTAGCATTCTGGGAGGCAGAGGCAGGTAGATTGCCTGTGCTCAGGAGTTCGAGACCAGCCCAAGCAACAGTGAGACCTGTCTCTACTAAAAATAGAAAAATTAGCCAGGCGTGGTGGCACACACCTGTAGTCCCCACTACTTAGTGGGAGGCTGAGGCAAGAGGTTGCTATAAGCTGTAACACCAGAACACTCTATGGGTGACAAAGTGAGACTCTGTCTCAAAAATAATAATAATAATCATAAAATAGGATAATGTGAGTAGATTCCAATGTAATATTCACAGGGTTCTTTTCTTTTCTTTCTTTCTTTTTTTTTTTTTTTTTTTTTTTTTTTTTTTTTTTTTTTTTGAGACAGAGTCTCAAGCTGTCACCCTGGGTAGAGTGCTATGGCATCACAGCTCACAGCAACCTCAAACTCTTGGGCTCAAGTAATTCTCTTGCCAGAGCCTTCCAAGTAGCTGGGACTACAGGCACCTGGCTATTTTTCTGTTGCAGTTGTCATTGTTGTTTTAGCTGACACAGGCCTGGTTCAACCTTGCCAGCCTCAGTGTATGTGACCGGCGCCCTACCCACTGAGCTATGGGCGCCGCCCCATGGGGTTCTTTTCTATAAAGTTAATTTTTATCTTAAAACAAAATATTTTTTCCTTCAAATGTTAGGGCTTCCAGGCTGTAGAAATTCTCTGAATTTTTCTACCATCCATTCATCTTTCAGCAAATACAGACACAGATTCCACAGAGCCTCCTTGCCAGTCATCAAACTGACTTAACCTAGACAATCTATCCTCCTCTGGGGCCGAAGAAGTGCTTCCCTCTTTCCTCCCAGACTGCCCCGGAAAACAGGAAAACTCCTTGACAATAACATGCTCTTTTGTACCAATGTGACTTACATCTATCCTCCTCTGGGGCCGAAGAAGTGCTTCCCTCTTCCCTCCTAGACTGCCCTGGAAAACAGGAAAACTCCTTGACAATAATATGCTCTTTTCTACCAATGAGATTTACATCTGTGAGTTCTAGCTTCACTGATCAATGAATTCAATTTTCAAGATCTAAAGACCACACTGAAGCTTTCAGCCTCTAATTTTGCTTAATGAAGTGACTTAGCTGCTTTGCGATAACAGAGACCTACAATCACATCACAAGGCAAACAAAACAAAGAAAACTGAGTCCAGGGTCTATAAAGCCCAAGCCTGTTGCTCTCACTAAACTAGCCAGTGACTGACCTTTGTACTCAGGGGTGAACTCCTTCATTTCAGGAGGAAGGGACTCATAGAAGCGCTGTTCCCGGGAGATGAGGGGCTTGCACACAGTGTGGTCATCATAACGCATCATGCTGCTGTGTCCGCCCACTTGGTGGATGAAGGGCTCCAGGAGGACTCCCCTGTCTCCAGCCCGACTTGCGTTCTTGCCATACTGCCCCACTTCCATGGTTTGACAAACACACATTGCGTTGGGGGCCAGTTGCACACTGAGGGCAGAGGATGCAGCACATGGGCCACAAAGAGAACTAGGTAGAAGGTCCTCGTGAGCTGAAAGCCAATGGTCTGATTCTGTTCAGCTTATTATTCTGTCCTACAGAAAAGGAGAGAGGAAGAAGGAATCAAAACATCTGGCAAGTCACATTTTCCCTAGAGCTCTGTGAATAAGAGCAGGGACTCTTGTTTTATTCCCTGTAATGTGTATCCAAGCACATATAATACTGCCTAGCACATGAAAAACAGTTAGTAAATTTTTGTTGAATTTTTGTTTTGGTTTCCTCTATCCATCATTTTGTGCACAGAAGCCCTCATTCTCTTCCTTTCCTAGTTCTCAGATTCCTTCTCAGTTCTCTAAAAGACATCAAGAAAGCAACTATTTCAGTTTACTTTGCATTCAAAGATGAAGAGATCAGAAAAAAATAGAAAGCAACAGAAATTTGTTCTATTCAGTTTCTTAATGATATTCGGTAGTAATAAGAGTCTTTTCTTCATTCAAAGGAAGGGGTTGACCAGACAGGAGAAAAGCCATTCCTTGAAGGGCTGCAGAGGAAGTTTTGCTTCTCCCAAAAGAACTCAGGTTTCAGATTTCTTCTACTTTAAATTTATGTGGCTATCAGTTTATAAGTATGTCTAACACCTTTCCCTCTGACTCTATACCAACCAATGGGATGAGGAAAAGCTCTGTAATCAAACACTTCCCTATAATGCCAACTTCCTCTAAGGAAAGTTAAAGTCATAGGTAACTTCCTTAATACTGAGTACATTTTA